ATCTTTGGATCTTCGCATTTAGCACGTTCGTAGTTGTATTTCCTTGCGAATTTGGAATCGATCTCTGGACGGCGTTTAATCAGTTTAGTTATCCAATTTTTTCCAACTTGTGGTTTGCCATGTTGTGAAAGTATATAATTAGCCATTTCTCGTACAAGAGAATGCCGGGGGGGTAATCCACGTCGATCTAAATCAAGCACCCATTTGACAAGCGATTCCTCTTCATATTGAGTCAATTTATGGCTGTTGGCGCGTACGAGAGATCTTTGTTGAATACCATTGAGTCTATCTTGTAAAGTTGTCCGGGGGATCTCGTAAATCCTTGCAGCTTGAGCTACACGTTGAATTCGGCCATTCTGTAAATCGGAAATTGCTAATGACATTCGTCCCTGTTGCTCATCTAAATTTTTCCGGTTTTTATTGCGAATTGGTGGCATATTGACGTGTTGAATAATATAAAATCAATATCGTGTACGCGCTCGGGAAAAAATGCCGGCTCGGTAGTGGTGCCGCTTCGGTGGTGAATTACGTTACCCGCTGTAGCTGGCCGCTGACTAAGAGCCGCTATCCAGGTGTGTGCCTAAGCCTGCAGGCACCAAGAGATCCGCGGCCCAGCCACGGGTGGTGCGCCATAGAGGCGCGCCACAGAGAACGGAAGCTAAGGAAACAAGAATAACGAATGCAAACATGTCAAACAAACAAATAAATCAAACATCTTGGTCGGCTAGTGCGCGTACGCCCCGCCTACAAGAATTCCCAAATTCTTTACAAGTCCTCTGAACTGCACCAGTTCGCTTCAAACCCACATATCCTGTATTCCTCATAAAAATCTGCGTATCTCACCCTTCGCAAATCCGAATTGTACGTCCTCTACATTGCATCCCGTTGGCTGGCTCTGAATCACTTGATCCAAGGCTCGTATTCGTGTCAATCCTGGTCCTTACTGATAACGACGTCGACCTGGAACGCACATCATCTACGTGCGTGTTCGTACATGTTCCCACGTCAGTGTCCTTGTCATTTGCAGGCTCCAATTGAGCCGCTGTTTCTGCGCTTTCATAGGTGCCAACTGCGGGGGGGCGGATAGCTGAAGTGGTAACGGCTATCCTTGGGGCCTCCATTCGGTACCCATCTTCGCTGATTGACAAGGCCGTAGGTTCGACTCCCACCCCCCTCACCAAAACAATTACCACAAATTATCGTGGCAGCTTTTAAAAACCATCCGACCCGCCCACGGGACAGGACACCCGAGGCTAGCCTAGCTAGTGGTTAGTCCCTTATGGGGCAAGACTGTGACGGCCAATAAGTAGGCTGCGATGCCGATATTGGTAACTGGAAACTCAGAAGTGGTTGGAGAGTGGGCGGTAGTGGAGCAATAGGAAAGATAAGGAACTATTGTATCTAGCTTGAGAGGACAGAAGCGGCAGTCGGTTACTATGGGTGCATATATTATTATTATTATTGTTGGTTTAGCTATACTCCGTATCACTAAGCATAGAGTAGGGAGCAAGGGCGGTCCAACTGCCCTAGGTGGTGAGCCTGCTTATAAGCACAAATATCTGATATTATAATGACTGACTAAACGAAAGGAGGGGGTAGCGGGGGTGCCGTAGTGGCTATATAGAAGGTTGCTGCGTACGCGCTAGGGATATAGTAAATTAGTAATCCCGCTTCCGTACATATGCGTTGGTTCTGCATCCGGGGTGCAGAAGCGCCGAATCGTGGGATTGATATTCCGACAATTATTAATCAAGTTTATTGTCCGTACCCAGCCCTACTGGCTATGACAGACCACTGGAAGTCTTGGTGACGCCCTATCGGCCTCACCCCTATCAGAATCATACATGCAAGAATTCAAAAATCACTATCTCGTCCCCATGTCGCCGATATGCCAGGGACCTTTGGGCACTCTCCCTAGGCTAATCCTTCCGGAGATCCCTTATAGTTCCAAACCCGTGGGCACGCCTAGTCCGTACAAACCCTGACTAGTGTGCCCTTATCCCTATTCATCATCCAATGTGACACCTGGGCCACCTTCCTCCAACGTATTCCACCCCCACGCATCGCTAGACTCAGCCTCTCTGGCTGTCCGCTCATTATCATTAAACAGGTTAGCTTCAGCCATGAATTGCAGCAAACCCTGCGTCGCTCTAGGCTCAGCAAATAGCCTAGCCTCGGGGCTTTCCTCAGCCGCTGTAGGTAGTGGTACTCCAGCTTTCTCGAGGGCTCGGTATAAAGCCCTCCGTCCTGTACGGCGTCCTCGGCATTCAAAAAGCACATGCCTCACTGTCTCATGAGGCTCCTTGCATGCCTGACACTCGGGCGATTCCCGTCGGCCTATCCGGTGTAGATAGGTGCCGATTGGAGCATGTCCTGTCTTCAGCTGGTAGTAACGACTAGCCAGTCTTTTTGGGGCTTTTCCCGCCACTGGGTCAAGGATCCAGCCTCGAGGCATCTTGTAGATACGTCCATCTCTATGCCTGCCTCGTACAGCGTTGATTCGAGCCCATTCAGATACTGCAGCTCTTCTTGCTTCCGTGCAAGCCCTTCTAACGTACGCTAGAGACAGGTGCTCAAAACCGGGCGCGGTTTGTTTACTAGCTGCACGTTTAGCAGCTTGATCAGCCTGTTCATTCCCTACCACTCCTGAGTGGCCTGGAACCCATTGTATTGTTACTGGCTGACCTCTCATAGCTAGCTTCTCCACTGCCCTGTGAG